TCCACGTTCGGCTAAGGGCAGCATCAAAAGGGGACGATCATTCACATCTTCTGTTCCGCCTACCCGTACACCTTCTGCCTCACCTGCGAAGTCAATACCTCACATGGAACCTCCGCAAAGTCAGGTATTTTTGTGCCATCGCTAATCGCGTTACCAAAACACTAAATGTATTAATTCCTCTAAGCAACCACCAGACCACTAACCCTCTCACTTGAATTGCTTTAAATTTCATTTTGCGAGTGATAGCTATTTCTTTTTCTATACAGACTGCTAATCTACCTCTCGAAATAAGATACTGATTAAAAGGATTTCCTGATTACATACTTACAAATACATTCGGCCAATGTTACAATTTTCTATTTTTTTTTCAGAAACTCCGACGTTCGAAACGGGGCTCTCCCTCAGACAACACCTCTCCACGCTCGGCTTAGGGCAGCATCAAAAGGGGACGATCACTCACATCTTCTGTTCCGACATCGAAATCCCCTTCCCTATCGCCTTCTCCTCCTTACTCACCGACGGAGCCGCCCTTAACGCAAATGGATCCTCCGCCAACCCAGGTATTTTGTTCCCTCACCAATCGAGTTACGATAAAGTGAACGAACCAGATGCTTGCGACTAACCATCCCAGTACAATCTATCATATGAATCTCTTTATATTGGCGCGTATACGTAGTATACCGCCTTTGCGATCGTTTCGACCCCCCCCCTCGATACAATAACCGAGTCCCCTAGTTCCTTACCGAAAAGTGACTACCGCGAACTTCTGAGATTTTCCAAAGCGTGTAAAAAGTTTACTAATCCGTCAATAATAATGATTAAAATTTGTTTCTCATTCTGGGGCTCGCTAGTTTATGTGTAATGAATACCAAGAGTCTACGTTTCTTGGTTTTTTTTAAAAAAACCTTAGAATGGGGCGCGCTGATTTAAAATATGCATATATAAGCGGAAGCAAGCGAACTGATTCGAGGATGGCTGACCAGTTCGGCACTCCTTGAATGAGAATTTCACTCACTCCGTTTTGTTCACAACGTTGCTTTGACATATCTCCACAACACTGTTATCCTTTTCAAAAGTTGGTACTCCTTGCTCTGATAGCCGGGGCCACCAGGATAGTGGTAAGTGCAATCTGTGATGAGCCTCGAGACTCATTAGACCATTTGCTAAACGTGGCTCATACAGGAGTCCACTAAGCCCTCTCGTCCCCACGCTCCTGATCACTGCGTCGGCGTCACGAAGAACAATGGGCCTTGGGTCCCAACGCGGCCGATACCCGTACCCCAATTACTCACGCTTCATTAACCATTTCACCGTCACGCTAGGATTCATCCAATTTTCAAAAAAAATTGTTTCGCATGTATTTAGCAATTTTTTCCTTACTCTCCGTTAAAACACAAATAAAAAGAGACCTCATTCATAAAAATCGGCCGAATAGAAGAGAAGTTACAGTAATCGAAATCCGAAGAAATCAACAAAACCTCGACTCCTCGATACGAAAAATAAAATGAAGGGGAAAAAAAGAAAGTATAAATTACAATTAAATATAATTGACCTCAAAATTTGACAAACAATTCATTTATATACCTAACGCTGAAAAAACTGGGAGAAATTACAAAAAATTTGCCTCTTGCAAGGGGCTTCTTTGTAAGAATTTTGACCTGAAGACAACGGTCGAATAACAGCAGTACTCCATACAATACACGGTGTGCCTGAACGAGTTAAACATTTTTCATACGTCCAAATCGAAAAATCTTTATATTTTTAACTACAATGTTTCTTGAATCGTTTAAGCAAAAAAAAAAAAAAAAAAAATTCCGTCGAGATTCTGGAACGCAAAGGCGCTTTAAAAGTATTCTGGGGCTATAATAGCTAAATCACCGGTAGTAAATTCGTTATATTATTAAAAAGAAATTGACTCCATAGTTTAATTCCTTAGTTTCTTGAATACGATTATTTTAAGCACTTAAACATTTATACCACCAATTTTAGCCATGGGGTGATTTCCTGAGAGCCGATAATATCACGAATTTCTCATAGAACCCCTCAACAGTGGCTTGCTTTTTTGGCAGCCGATTCGGCCATCGAACCGGAGTTTAAATGGAAGCTGATAATAACCCAAAGCTCTGAGAAAAATTTTGAGATGAGTATAAGAACGGTTTGTTGTAAGTAGCGAGGAGAGGCGGGCAAAGCGGCTAAAATCCTATCTAATTTTTACAGTTTTTCTGTTGAATTAATGTTGCCGCGGGCTTCTGACTGTCCACACATAGTTCTGTTCAGCATATCGATACATAAGTATTTACATTTTACATACGTAGAATCTAATTTTCACGTCGGGGAGTTGACATATTTTGATTTTTTCGATTTTATACGGAAAATTGATGGTTTTTCGGGATTGAAATTATTATTGTTTCATGAAAAATAAATGCACCCAAAATGACTATAGCATATTGATTCTTACACATTTGCACTCACAAAATTGGTTGGTAAATTCAACGAGTGGGTGCATCGACCTGGTATATCAAGTTTCTGCAATTTTTTACGGCAAATCAGTAGATTTTCGGGATGTAGATTGCTTACTTTCAATTCATGAATGAATAAAGCAACGACATGGTTGAACTTCTTTGCATGGAAAGACGTTTAAAATAACAAAATCAAGACGTATTTAATGCAATTGCATTTATATCGAGTCAATTTCTTTTCAATAATATAACGGGATTTTTACTACCGGTGATTTGGGTATTTTAGCCCCAAAATACCTTTAAATCGACTTTATCTTCTAGGAGTTCGACAGAATTTTTCCTTTCTTCGCTTAAATTATTCCGTAGCACTTTTCTTCAAGAATCTGATAAGATTTTGCTTGAGGCAGATCAAAAAACTTAAATTCGATCGAATAGCTTTCTACTTTCACAATACACGGTCTCGTCAAGGTGCGTCTTTGACCTCGCAGTGTTGGATCGTGAATTCTCTTTTTATGCTGTTTGCCTATTTTGAAATCTCTGTAAATGAAAACTAAAGGGGTTGATATGTGCGAGTTAATGACGCGCCTTATCAACACATTGTGTTGGAGTTCACTGCTTGTTTCTCTTCGTAACGTTAGAAATTTCTTCCTTTTTCAGACACGCCCAACATCGAAACAGCTGCTCTCCAGATTTTTGCGAATTGCCGGACCCGGGATATCAATGCCGCCAGAAGTTCCAAAGATATTGCCTTCGGATAATAGTCATAACTCGAATCCTGTCAAGGAACCCTTCCGCGGGAAGGCACCAAAAGATTCAGAGGATCACCCTGCTCCCATCACGTCGGCTGGGCCCAGCAATGCAAATACGATAACTAACCCTATTCGTCGCTTATTTGCGGTATGTCAACTGATTCGTTATATACGGTTTCTACGATACTATGATGTTCAATTGCATTTTTGGAATAAGGAGTGAAACATTTATCGTTGATGACATCCTAACGTATACTACTATTTAGATCCTTGATTCATTTCCTCTTGGCCCGTTTGCAGGAGTCTATTTTAAACAACATCATTGATCTATGAATTCATAGATGATGAACATCGTTTTTATTATCCGTAGGATACACTTTTGTTGATGATTATTCGAATATTATATAGACGTTTATCTACGATTTTTATCGAAATCGTCATTATATTTTTCATCAATTGTTATTGACATTATTTAAACAGGATGACGATCCTGCTGAACCAAGAAGGCGAAAGGAAACCGTGAGTCGAAAGACACCAGCCGGCGTCATAGAAGAAAGTGAAGATGAAGTCTTCCCAGACGATGAGGAAGCCATTGACATCCAAGAAGCCATGGACATCGAAGATGGTGCTGGACCACCACAAAATGATGATGATCCTAATGTAGTTTTTGAAGGACCCGTTGAACCTCCAGAACCACCTATTGTTGAAGAAGCAGCCAACCCACCTGTTCCTGACGAAGAGCCAGCCAACCCTCCTGCTCCTGGAGAAGAGATAGCCAACCCACCAGTTCCTCACGAAGAGGCAGCACCGCCACCACCCCTCCCGGGCCAAGGACAGATGGTCCGTCCCACTCGGTGAGTTTTCCTCTTGCATTATATTTTTAAATCTGATCTCTTTATTTTTCCCCGGAAATATATCTTATTTTCCAAATCCGTCTTCATTTCCTCGTGTTATTTACGCTGAACACTCATACAAGTTTTCATTGTGGGTTCTGCCTTAGATTTTGGACGTCTGGAAGAATGGGTAGGGGTCTTGGCACTTTACTCCACCTGCAGTGCAATGCGGCGCCGACTTCTCTCACACTGAAATTCTGGGACATGGGTTTTCCCACTGAATTCCTTAGTGCAGGTGACATCCACTCCCTGGGTCCCTTCACGGAAGTGGAAATCCTGGATGCGTCTCGGGAAAATGTACTCCTTCCGGGTCGTCGTTCTGCAGGAACGAAGTTGATCTTAGTATTGCCCGGCGACTCGGAGGGAGTGCAAAGTTCTGACTGGCGGGCTCGAGTAAGGAGGCACGCAGAGTCCCGATTGTACAGGCGACTTTCAAAATGCAAGTCAATTAGGACTCTGCGTGTCGTTCTTAACCAAACACTACTATCCAATTTCACCGATTACAAAGTGGCGCTTGGGCCCACTGTTCTTGCCGTCCTCTCGGGTCTCCTGGAGGCTGTAAAGCGAAACTTTGAAACAAAGGCATCTCTCCATATCTTCCTGGAGTAAGGGCCGAGAAGGGTGAGTAAGGAACTTATTTCGTAAAACTAACTTCACTTCGAGGAATCTGTTTTCTACGAAGGGGAATTTTAATGTATAGCACGGGTTGCGGGGTGGCGGGTAACGGTAAGATGACTGATATTTTGTGCAGGTTGGAATGAGCAAGAAGATTGAATCCAGCGATTGCAGCTCTCACTCAAATTCAAATCGATTGCATTGCTGCAATAGAGGAAGGGAAGAACATATGTATCCGAATTCCAACGGGTGCCGGAAAAACTATTGTATTTCTTGTTCCCTTCATGGATGCGCCCAATGCTACCCTTGTTATAATTATTGTTCCGTTAATCGCTCTCCTCCACGATTTCATGCGCAAACTAGTAAATCGCATAAACATCATTGACGCTAGGAGTAACAGACTTGATGTGCACCTGCTTACTAACGTACACCACCACCTCCAAAATAACAGAACTGTCTTTATCCTCGTAACGCCGGAGACGCTAAATCGGTCTCCAGATCTCCGTGTTTTCGCACAGGCTGCCGGCTTCCCTGTTGCTTTCATTTTTGACGAGGCACATACGGTTCCAAGCTGGGGCCTCGAATTCCGGGAGGAATTGCTCCGAGTGGCAGAGACGATTCGTTTCATCCCGGAAAGTCAACTCATCCTCTCTTCGGCTTCAATTTCTCTCCCCGATATAAAATTTATTGAGAGATGCTACGGTGAGGAAATCGAGACCGTCTTCACCCAATTATTCATCCGTCGTAACGTCAAGTATACGGTTCTTCCCGTACAAACGTTACCAGGTGGAAAAAAATCTCTTCAAAAATTCATTTCCAGCTTTAACGACATTGCGAATTTTTTAAACGACCGTTTCCCTCATGATTCGGTTATCGTCTTCATTGAAAATAAGAAACAGGTAAACACGTTAGCTGCCGGGCTGAACGGTATCGGTTTTCCTGTCGTACGCTACCATAGCGACATGACTCCCAACGGCAAAACTGTTGCTATGGACAGCTGGTTAGGTGGTAATCCTCGTTTTATTATTGCGAAGTCGGCAATATCTCTTGGCGTAGATGGTGAACGATGCGTCGGTACCGTACATTTCGGGCAGGCCTCTTCTATCTACAACCTGATCCAGGAAACAGGTCGTGTAGGTAGGAAAGGACAGCCATCGGAGTGCATTACGGTCACCGATGCGTCGTTCACCTACAATAAGCTGTGTTCCACCATCGAATTCCATCAAAAGCGGGTTGAAAAGATTCCGGTAAAGACGATCCTGGCTGGCAACGCTGAATTGTTGGCCTGGGCAGCAACGACCCAACGATTAATGTGCATACCAGCCATGCTCCTGAAATTCGTGGACCCTTACATCGAACCCGCTCCGTGCGGAATATGCACGGTCTGCTTGACACCAGCGAAAGGTCTTCAACTTCCGGGGCTGGAGGAGGTCCTGAAACGACTGCTGCGTCGAACGACGTATTTACGCGATACGCGGAAAGGTTGCTTGTTGACTTTGGCAAAATTCTTATCAGGTCCAACTTCAGCATTTGCGGAGCGCAATTTTCTGGAGGAATACCCTGAACGTTCTATTTTCAAACATTACAGTGTTCAGGTAATCCTCCAGAATATTGCGCTTCTTATTGCGAAAGGCCGGTTAAAACCCAATGTTACTCTCGACGATAATACTTTCGAAGCGACGAACTTTCACTTCGTCGAGTAATTTGTCAAAGAATTCGAAAAAGTGATTATCCCAATGTAAAAAAATTTAAAAGGCCATTATATATTATATTAAAAGAAGAAAAAGATCCTTGGCGTATAGACTCGGAATGTGTTTTCTTATTGAAGGGAGATGCGTTTTAAGAGGGGAGGGGGCGAGAGGAAACCAGGTGAAGATACCCAGAAACAGAGGTTCACAAAAAGCTTTGGAGTGTACTCCTTGAACATTCGAAAAACAATACTGGCAAGAATGTTACAGAAGGACCTCAGTGTCTGTGAGAACAGCCGTGTGGTAACCAATCATTCCCACAATAGTGTATCATTCGGATCAGACTATTTACCCGCCGATCCGAACAGGAAGAAGGATGGGCCTTTAGAACCTGACGAACACCTAGGTAAATGGGATTTACTACAATTCCCAGGTTAATAATGTTATGATGGGGAATCAGGTTTCCTACCACTTCCTTCTTTTCGAAAAGAAAATTTTCTTCATCTCAAAATTGTACATTCATACAAATAAAGGGAAATTGAAATGTACCCATCAGCGCACTCTATCTGTTGCTTCCAGCATCACGGGTTGCCAGGATCAACGCATAAACTTCGTCGTAAATGATACTAGTATCTATATTATATAATTGATGCCCATCTACGATATATCATCAGGAATTTCCATTCATCCGTCGCCAATGGGTATCGGTAGAATTCCGTTCCACCTATTCTTTAGCAACAAAAAAGAAATGATAGACAAACAAATCTATACCGATGCATGCCAACAGGCGGATTCCGGTGTCGCAAACCTAAACCCCTGCTGATTTGAACCTTACGATTTGAGACACCAATCTTTTCGGTAACATCTGATGCACTATCTGATCGATGACACTATTTACGAAGCTAAAATCAGTATGCTAAGTTCCCTTGATCATACTGCGTTCTGATTAAGTTTGCAATTATCAGAGTATTCTCGATTTACAGTAAAACTACTGTTTCCATTTTCCACCGGATTTTTGTGTGTTTTAACCTTGGGATGTAGTCATTTGACAAATGCAGTTGTAAAATATTAATTGGTTTTATTTGATAGTGCTAAATTTTGCTGTTGTGCTAGCTTTGCTTGTGCTTACTATTGCGCGCTTTATTGACTATTCATTTATTTTCTTGAAATGAAATTAACACAGGAGCTGCGTGTGCAATTAATATTAATGTACGGAGCTACGAATTCTGTATCGGACACAATGCGTCGTTTTAATGATGAGTACGCCGGTGAAACTCACCTACGAAATCCCTCGTTGATAAGTTTTGAACGACTGGAAGTGTTGCAGATTTACCTCGGGCCGGGAGACCTAAATTAAGTGAAGCTGTCGAAATCGCAGTTTTGGGCATTGTTGCACAAAACCCGCAAACGTCCATTCGAGAAAATAGTGCGCAAACTAATATTTCTCCGCCAACAACTCATAAAGTTCTTAAAAAACACAAATTTCACACTTACAAGGTATCTTGTCACCAGGAACTTTTTTTCGAAGATTTTAATAGGCGAATAAACTTTTGTGAACTTTTCACTAATAGAATCGCGCAAGATCCAAACCTTTTACGACATGTTTGTTTCTCGGACGAAGCAACTTTTTTTCTTAATGGTCACGTAAACCGTCAAAATGTGCGATATTGGGCTGAAGCTAACCCTCATCTGTTGTTCGAGGATCATACACAGTACCCGCAAAAACTAAACGTGTGGTGCGGTATTTTCGGCGATAAGATTGTGGGACCCTTTTTATTGACGGAAATTTAAACGGTCCCAAGTACTTGGATTTGCTTGAAAATGCAATTGACCCTGCTATAACTAATATTGTAGAAACAGAGGTGAACTTATTACTTGAACCGATTTACGACGAAAATAAAATTGTTTATCAACATGACGGTTGTCCTGCCCATTTCTCTGCAGACGTTACGGCGTATTTGAATCTTAATTACCCGGGGTGGTGGATTGGTAGGGGAGGTCCAATTTTATGGCCACCGCGGTCACCGGATTTAGCCCCCCTCGATTTCTTCCTCTGGGGATACTTGAAGTCAGTTGTATTCAAGTCAAAACCTCAAAGTTTGGTGGAGTTGCGGCAAGCAATTGTTGACGCCTGTGCCTCGATCACCGCAGCCACTTTAAAGAAGGTTCGACAAGAGTTTGAGAACCGACTTTACTATTGTTTGCAGCAAAATGGAGGTCACTTTGAACATTTGACGGAATAACAGAGCATCAGGTATAAAAACTTCCACTTTAAAAAAAAAAAAAATAATAATATCAATAAAAAATAAATTGCAAAATTTTTCTTTTCTTCTTTTTTTATCGTTAAATTTGAGGAGGAGGACCTTAAACATTTCTAAAGCATCCCAAAGGAGGAGTGCTTTTTTACATCGGCTTCATTTTTTGACAGCACACTTCATCCTGTGATGTCGCATACTCCAACGATTGAAGGCGCCCTGCTTGCCAACTTTTAAGTCAGCAAATTATTGCTCTTACTTGGACAAATGAAGGAATAAAAGTTGATACCTTTGATTTGCTTAAACTAGAGGGTATTTGAAAGCTAACAGTTTCTGGAATTTTCATTTTTTGTGTTTCCTCAAATTTGCCGCCATGTTGAATTTTCCGAAATTTTATTTTGAAACAATGCCATCCAGACTTGGGACAACGTCAGTTGTTTTTCCTCTTCCTAAAATGCACTTTTAAAACTTTTCATTCCTGGTTTGTTTTTGTTTTTTCGATAATTTGGAGCTCATCGGCGATTTTTTGAAAAGTGGTCAATTTGAAATTTTGACCGGCTGTATTTTTTGAACGAAAAAACCGATTTTAATTTTATTTGCGCCATTTTTCTTGTCGCTTTCAGTTCTTTTTAACCATGTCTAAAAAAATGAGGGCTGCCATTTGAGTTTTTGAAGTTGCCCCCCCTGGGGCCCCCCAAGGGGGTCCACCGGAAAAAAACCCCCATCGAAAAATTTCCCCTTTCGGATGATGAAGAATGCCACAAACCGCGACCTTCTATCTTTTCTTGTTCAAAAATTATACCCGCACTTTTCAGTTACTTTATGGACACCCGGTATTTATAGTGCCACAGTACTATAATGGGTATTTATACAGTACCAGAGGTGTTGGGATTGACATCCTGAAAGATAGTACGGATATAGGATGACTAAGAGACGGGAAGGAACAACTCTGCAGGAAGTCGAGAGGTTGTTATGTAGGGAAGGTACATTCAGAAGAGGGAAGGGTAACTATAATGGAGATGTGGGGCTCGGCACGCCAAAGAAGAGCCCAAATGCGTACAGAGGAAGCTATGGTAAGTGGATGGTGTAGGGAATGGCATACCAAAGATATACTAGGAAAGAAGACGGTGAAAAAAGTAAGAATGCTATATGATTTGTTGCAGATACAGATGGAGATATACCTATGCAAGTTCCCATGGGCGAGATCTCGGAAGGCTCCTGAAAGAAAGAGGCGCTGGGACAGACTTAAAAGTTGATGTCGCCATGACAAAAGAGCCGACGGAAATTGTCAGAGAAATGGACTTGGAGCGAGTAAGGCGACTCTCTCATTTGTTGCAGATACAGATGGAGATATATATGCAAGCTCCCATGGGCGAGATCTCGGAAGGCTCCTGAGAGAAAGAGGCGCTGGGACAGACTTAAAAGTTGAATGCTACCCTTCAGGGAAATTCAATGAGGTCACAGAGAATATTCGACCTCGAAAGGAAACCGTGACTGTAATCATCGCCGGAGGCAACGATGTCACCGTGACAAAAGAGCCAACGGAAATTATTGGAGAAATGAACTTGGAGCGAGTGAGGCGACTATCTGAGAGACAGAACGGCGGTCTGGTGGTGTTCATGCCAATAACTGGCGTTCCTTATCTTTTCTTATTTGACGCTTTTTGTTGAGCAGCGTTGAAAACAGTGACGTCACTCTCTACTAACCGTTCAGTACTCCGTTCGATCAATCGACTCTTTGTTCGTCACCCGCGATGACGCAAAACGGAGAGAATCTCCGACATTAAACCCCGGTGACGTAGATTAGATTCACCTAGAGTTGTGTTGCCATATATCGATTCAAGAGTTGCCTTACGCTGTTACCCCCGGATTCACATTCACACCAATTTTCTTGTTTTAACGCTTAAGATTGGCCTGTCAGAGCCACTCCAAGTCGAGCGGTAGTTTAAGCCTGTACGGCTTCTGTGAATCATGTTATCTCGATGTGTGACCTATCTTGTAATGAATAAGTGCATCTACTCTTAAGCCGTGCTTGTGTCTTTTATCCGATTGGAAGTAAGTCGTTATAAGAATGGCCCCCCGATATTTTCCCGGAGTTGACTTGAAATACAAAGTCTAGTTAGTTGGAAAGGGTCTCTGAGCACTCGTCATCTGTTTCAACGTATCCTTTCTTTTAAATCCCCTTAGAAGAGTAGTTTTCAGAGAAATTACGGTTGATGTGTACGCTTGGGTCGCCCGAATTGTGGCCTACCCAGGCTTTTGAAGGCGTTTCCCCGGGCGAACGACCTATCCCGAAACTCTCTCTCGATATGTTGTGACCCGTTTCTCCAGTTTCTCCAAGTCTAGTTTCTCCAAGCGTTTATGTGATTTTCTTAGCCCAATTCAGAATCAATTATTTAAGTTAATCGTTGTCTCAATGATGTGCGCCATGGTGTCTAGAGTATCCGCCCTCCCGGGCTGTGCATTCTTCGCCTCCGCCAACCTTTGCATGAGCCCTGGCATCGTGCGCTGTCGTGCGCAATTTTTGAGTTTCCCGTTTCAGTGCTCTTTACACACCTTTGATAATGTGTTCGTTGTGCCACTCCGCTTGAATTTGACCTGTGTGATGTATAACCTGTTGCCTACCCGTGCCTTTGAAGGCGCCGATGTGCACGCTCCTTCTCCCGAGAGCTCTTAGTGCAAGAGCGTGTTGCCTTCATCTCTGAATTGTTTGTCTTTTTAATTTAATGTGTCCCGAGTTTACATGGAATCCTGGTGTTTCTAGCCTTGTCTCTCATGGTGTCCAAGGCAGTTCGAGCACCGGTTAGCTTGTCGTACCACCATCCGTATTACCGAATTGCAGGAGGATGTCGAGTGTTGATTATTAATCATTTAACGCTAAAAATTGTCCGCTGAATTTTGACCCGTATTTATCCGTCGGGTGGTGTATAGCCGATTTTCCTACGATCTCGTATTGCTGCTCGTAGTACTCGCAGTAACTTGTCTTGCTTCTGTCTGTGGCAATATTGCCGCCAAGCAAATACCCGGAGTTGATGCGAGCTTAGTTTGTTCCGCAGTACTGTCGAGTCGCCTTTTGCGACATTTTATCCGGAAGTCAGTCATGTTTTTCTGAGAATCGCATCAACCTCAACTTCTTTTTCTTTATCGTTATGACTGATGGAGTTATGCTCATAATTGTTTCCGATGAGTCGTCGGCGGCCCTGCCTATGACTGTGTCCTATTTTTCTTTTCCTTGCGAGATTGCCCTAACGTGCAATACGAAGGTTTTCAGAGATGCAGCAACGGCATCGCAGACCCAGCTGACTGGGTCACCAGTGTCAAGTAAATGTGGGTCAAACCTTCCTAGGTCATGGGCCTCTAGACGGGGTATCGCCGACTACTCATCGCACCCATGTTCTTTTTTGTTTGGATTTCCTCTTCGGAGGGTTGCTTCTTTTTATTGTCTTGTATTATCCGGAGTGTAGTAGAAGTTCAAGTTTTGTTGTGTTTTTTTTTTTTTATCTCCCGTGTAAGCTTCTGTCCGGTTCGCGTTGCGTTTGGGAGCAGGGCCCCCTCCCCCCTTCGGTCTCCCCCCGATTTTTCCCCCTTCGGTCCCTTCCTCATTTTCCCCTTGATAAGAAAGTCATCCAACGTAGCCCTCCTCTACGGAGTCAGCTACAAGTAATTTGATTGCATAGTTTCTCGCAGTCAAAGGTCCCCCTCCCCTTTCTTTTTTTTCATTCGGAGAGCTTTTCACGAATTCAACATGCAAATTGCGGAGAGAACTGGTCTTCATTTGGATTTATGTGCTGTAGCGGATTGTGCCTGGGACCTTCTTGTCTCCTCCTGTGGCAAAAGGATTGTCCGACGTGCCTTCTATTTTCAATACTCACCATGCCATGCACAGGTATCCTAGCCAAATTCAGGATTTTTCATGTTCATCTGTTTCATGTTCCAGTTTTCGCTCTTCAGCTCACTCTCTCGTTGATATGAAGCCTTCTCTCCTCTCCGCTCTCATTTTTTATGGTTTCTGTCCCCCATTTAAAGGGCCAGTGGTCCCTCGTGTCGTCACTTTCCCCATTCTATCACTACATATTTCAAATTTCCCGCTCTTCCTGTTCTACTGATGTAAGACCTGGCGATAGGCATTCGGTGTCTGCGCCATGTTTTGTTTACGCTTGCGTGACGTATTTCGATCTCTTCCGTGTACTATCCATTCTACCTACCTGTTCCCCGTTGATTCCCCGTTTACCTGTTATCAGTCCATTTGTTCGCATGGCGGCTGAGGAGGACCGCCATTTGCAAGCGTATTTCTCGACTTGGCGCGGCCAGGTGGTGTGGTTAGAGCTGTTCCATCGCCATGACAAGGATGCAAAATTTAACGCACTCGTTCGGGCCGTTAATAAACGAATTCACAAAAAGTTAACGAGATCGAAGGAAGATGAAAAGAGAATTGCGGTGATCCAAACATCTGGACTTAAGAGAGACGACTTTAACAAGGGTGGCCTTCACCTGATCAATCAGCGGAAGCAATCTATTTTTTCTACAAGTATTAATGTCTTTATGTTCAGGAATAAAATTAGTGTTCACTTTTTCCCTTCTTTAAAATTTATTTACCGTCATCGTCCTCTTCACTCTTGTTAGTTCACAGACAATGTGTGAAAACATCACGAGAGAGGTCAAAAAGCATGTAGTCAGGCAGAAACACGATGTGTTTGAAAAATTGCATAACAATTTTTTCCTATTTGAACGTCATCAGTAGGTCTTCCTGAACAACATACAAAAAGTTTACCACGGTCCGACCCCGATTTACCCCCCAAAATTCATAAAATTCAAATTGGCGGCTATAATAAGCCCTATGGGATTTCCGTATTTTAAAATGTCCCCATAGTGTCATGTGAGGTATCATTCTGTCGCGTGCGCCGGCTCTGAAACATCTAAAAGATCCTTAATACGCGCTCTAGAAATAGCGGAGTTCGTTGGAGAGCAGAAGATAAATTTATGATCTCGGATTAATGGTTTTGGAAAAATTACACTTGGATTGTCGAATAATATAATAAGAACACTTTAAGCACGAAACCGGATTACAAAAGATGGAAAAGATCTGCACTTGGTAAAAATATACTGGAGTGACTTGCGAGAGCTTAAGAATTGACACATAGTCGTAGCTGAGATGGTAAACGCGAAGTGAAGTGACTTTTCGAGCTATCGGGCACTCAGGGCCAGACAAGAGCAACTTTTAGGCTGCATCGCATCAGCCATCCGTTACACTGATAAAAAAAAAGATATTAAATAAATGAGATGGTGAGACCGATTGTAAGCAAGCATCGGCTTAAGGCCTTAAAATGCTTGTCATGAGAGACTTAGAGAGAGACAGAAGAAATGAGGGAGAGAAGGATAGACGAAAAACTGCCTCGTAGTGAATTTAGAGGAAAGGTTGCGTGATACGCGATACATTTCTTATCAATTTTGATCGCAGATCTCATTTCTGAAGTCCAAAAAGCCCTTAAGTTTCAGGGGGTGCCCCAAAGCCAAGATGGCGTCTAAATTTAAAAGGTAGGAGGGTGAATTTTGGAGGAGTTCCCTTCCATTATGGGAAGGACTTGTTGTGTCCCGAACTGCCGGTCCAACTTTAGTAGTAATGGACCTTGCGTTTCAACTTTCCGCCTACCTCAAAATGAGGCTCGAAGAAACGAATGGCTGAAACTAATTTGGCAAGAAGATCTAATCGATAATTTTACCAAACATACTGTTTTTTGCATTCAACATTTTGCTCCTCAACATGTGATCACCATAAATCAAAAAAGGACCAAAGATGGACTAGTCAACATACCAGGTAAAATTCCCAAATTACCAAAGGATGCGTTTCCATCGATATTTCCCGCGTGGCCCTTTCACTAATCCGTACCTGTGCCCCCCTGTAGAAAAAATCTTGAGCCCCGCGCTGAAGAGATTCAGCTAGCTGAAAAGAGATTTGCGTTGACTAAGAAGAGGTAGAAAATAGAGGCAGACAAAATAAAAAATTTCAATGATTTAAAAAGCCAGTTGGTCCGGAGGTATACCAACTTCCTCCCTCTGCCAACCGAGACGCATGTACTTCCTAATATGATTGAGGATGATGACATTGACTCAATGCCAAAAGTTAACATCTCTTTCAAAATTTGTGTAGACTTTTCTGTAATCGTTTACCAGGAAAATGAAATCGTCCCTCCTAAAAAGTTTGAGAAATTTTAGGGATCAGGTTTAAATTGTGATATGTGGAGTAAACTAAAATGCATTTCCCGATTTCTAGAAACTCTCAATGCAAGAACTGAAATGCTTTGGGACGCAAAATTTGTCGTTAAAGCTTAGTAACATTTTTAATACTTAACTAAATTTACAAAACGAGGGCATTACGAGTGGAGCTGAGCATACTGTACTCAAATATTATAGGGTTTTTGGGGTTTACTCTACGACTCAACTGGCGGGAGAGCTAAATGGACCGCAGACCGTGCAGACGAGCCCGATCGAGCTTTCTTCTGTAAACCTGGTCAGGTAGCAGCCACCCTGCCACCCGTCGTCTTCAACTTTTTTTTTGGGGGGGGGGGGGGTCTTCAAATTTTAGGGGGATTTTGTTAGGATTGGGCCGGGGTGGCTACCGCCACCTAGAACTGAACCAGAAACAAGTAAAAGCATTCATGTTTTCATTTCACCTATATAGTTAACTCACTATGCTGGAAAAATTAAAAATTATCATGACGCCAGACTAAATCTAAGAATATTGTATACGAAGTTCAAAATCGAAGCGCACAATGAAAGCTTATCAGTAAGTTCATTGAAGTAGAACGATCTCAGAACATTTTATTTAAAAAAAATATATATGAATAAAGAATATGCATCAATGGGATGGATTTTTAATTTGTTCGTTTATTTGGGTATTTATTCTGTTTTTTCGTATTTTTTCCGGGACTCCAGTAAGTACAGTATTGATACAGACATAGCTTGTTTTGCTTTGCTACTTAGTTGTCAGCAATACTCTGATTGTAAATGCATAAAAATTGTAATTTTTAACTTTAGCACCTATGCCCCTCTCGAATCCACAGAATGAATGACCTAGCTACTTAAACGGCGTCTTGTCACAAGCATATGACTGGCTTTCTGTGAGTTTCCATAGAGGGAGCTCATAACATTTCAACATTTTTGAATTCGGCTTGTGAATTCCATCGATTGATCCGCGTGCAGTTTATAGTGTATGATTTAATCCTCCATTAAGAAAGAGGATACAAAACCAATGTTTCTGGCGAATTGAGGTCTAAAGGCAAATTGGTGCCCTCGGTTGCATTCATAATCGTCGTGATTTGACTAAAAAAAATCACCGTTTCTATGGGAGCGCTATAATTTCAGTACAGAACAGTGATTATGACGAGCCAAAAGAGAAATAAAGAGTAGATTCGCAGCTGCAGCAAAGTACAGAAAATAATGTTGACACACGGGTGGAAACCTCGCTCATAGGTATGTTATTTTAAGAATGAGCATCATTTTAGAAGAATCTATATATTATAAAAGTTCAGTTTAACGCTCGGCGGTTGGATTCTCCTCCTTTCAATTTTGTCGTCACAAGCCGAAATTCCCGACGTCTTACGAAATATTTTTTTTTATTAGAATGCGATTTCGGACTAAATTACCTGTTAAACCGACCATACTCTCAAGAGAGCGATATTCTGAATTATATCTTCAGTTGAAATAAACATTAATTTCGTTGTCCTTGAGCATGTGTTCCGCTCCAGTTGATTGCATTACATTGGGATGTTTTATTTTGAGGCGAGTTTCTAATGCATGTAAATGCAAGTGATCATGGTAGACCCTACGTTCCATACCTTCTTCATGTGCTTTCTGTATAATGCAACGTTTCCTTGGCGGTAGCGATACTTCCAGTCCCGCTGACAATGCAACATTGTAAATGGGGCGATAATGAGTTTTACTGCACAAATAACCATGTAACTTCGCCTAAAGAGGAAGCGAGACCTGATTTAAACCGTGAGTATTGTAAGAGAGACAATATTTTTTTCCTCCGTGGCAATATACAATGTCTATGCCTCGATTTACGGAGAGGAGAGCTGGCCGGGCCGGTATAAAAATGTTACTGTTTCCCGAGTGAATCCGACCCATCTGAAATTCTCCATAAAAGAAGGTATACCCAGACGCTAGGCGTCTTGCTAAGTTGAAGTTTAGGGCGCATACAGGAATTAATTGAATTTTAGAAAACAAGCTAAAACTAGATCAGGAATCAAATCATTATTCTCGGAATACATTCTGCTCTACGATATTTGATTTCTGGTCTCGGCTGTATGATTTGACTTTGTATACTTTTTCAGAGGGATGAAGTAGATGTTAATATATTTTGCTTCTATGGGGAAATGGAAAAGCATAAGGTGAGAATTTTAGCATGCAGTATCACTTCACTATTTTAACATTCACTAGCCGAGTTTCGAGAACAATCACACACTTTTAATCACAGGATTCGGAGTTTGGACCTTACGCTATGTATTCTGGTACACTGAAAAAAAAGATCGGTAGAATTTACCATTCCTTCACGATGTATTTTACACAGCGTGAAGGAATTGTACATTCTACCAATCTTCAAGTCGATTCTGCTAGAGGAATGGTTACCTGTACCAGTATATAAAAACGTTTACCTTTCTTCTGGCAGAATCGACTCTGAATTGACGCTGTGTGAAATACAGCGCGAAGGAATGGAAAATTCTACCGATCTTTTTTTATTCAGTGCATGTGAACCGAGCGTTCGGTGTCCCATATCATTCTAAATATTCGGTTTGTCAAACTAAACACTCGGTTTGTCAAACTAAACTTTTGGTTCGTTTAACTGAACGTTCGGCATAAATCACCAAACTTCGTTCGTCAGTTCAGTTTACCGCACAAGTTCGGTCACACGAGCCGAAAGTTCAGTTTGACAAACCAAATTAGTTGGGATTACACGAAACACCGAACTTTTTTTTTTCAGTGTCGTACGGTTAGCAAGAAAAGATAAGTGATGATGAATAGCTACGTGACGGTTTTGCATTTAACTTTTCGCATAGATGGACAGGATGATTCGCGCTAATCACGTATTATTCTTACACCACTGCACAGAAGAAAGCGCATCGGGTACGTGTGCCTTTAAAACATATGCAGTGATTTTCTTTTGCGCATCGTAAATTTTTATGGATCATAAATTTTTATTATCCTGTAATCGACTGTAACGGATGATACTAGGAAGAGCGGACGCAAGTAATTGCTAGAGCGTACTGAGGCATTACACGCGTTCACTGCACGGAGTACAAAATATGAAACTGATTCAACTTAGTATTCCAGCAAATTAGACGGATGCGGCCCGTCGAGTTTCATCAATGTATAGATTACCGCCACTTTTGATGGTTCGAGCTCAACCTGCTGCACCTCGAGAGAAAAACACCCCTGATATTGTTCAGATTGTTTTTGAATAATCTGTTCCTGAAAGTTTTTTCATTAATGTGTTGATTGAATGGAAAACTACACTGGAAAAAAAAGAATCTTAAATTTGCCGCCAAGAAGTATTTCTTCTTAAATCAAGAATTTTGCTGGTTAATATGAGCTACTTTTTTGCTTAACCGAAGCATTAGTTTTCTTGAATCAAGAAAAAGTCAGCTTAAAGCAAGATATAGAAAATTCTTGGCGGCAAATTCAAGAATTATCATGCTTGATCCAAGCTACTTTTTTTTAGTGTATGTGATGAATGTCATATGTTTGTTTCGGTCTCTATGATGACATGCATGGACTACACTGTAACACGGGGCATTCCTTCAAAATTTGGCAATATTAGCAAGTTTAGTAGCTAGCAAATAATTCACTTCATCAAATAATAGTTGCTCTCTATGTGTAGCTAATTTTTAAAAAATCACCTCTAGTTTCTAGTTGACTTGCTTCTATTTGCAATTATATTATATCAACATGTGCCTTCTTGACACATTACTCTGCTCTGGAGCCAAGGCTGCCTTCATTCATTTGAGACTACAGAAAAGTTTGTTCTTCGTAACTGGAAAACTTGCGAACTTTTGTGGACTTTAACCGTTGGAAATAATTCTACCATTATTGTGATATAATCACCTACGGCGAGGCACTGCCTAATACGTACCAGACCGTTCGAGATTATAATGGAATAAGGAGTGATCAATCAATGAGTATTTTTTTTTTTCTCTTTTTTTGAGAAGTTTCTTCGGTTTTCATTCTCATCTGAATCTACAGCCGCCTTTAAATTAGTATGTGTTGACATGAGTCATTTTGACGTCCCTGACTTTTCCAGCACTGGCCCTGTGGCCCTCCCCTCAGTCGAAACTGGAGCAATTATTTGCTAAGTTTACAAGATAAGTGATGAACATAAGTTCAACTAAGCTGTCTCGGTACTCCTTCAATCCTTGTACCAGCTGCCTCAAAACATGCCAGAACACACACATTTGCCGACACTGGTATTTGAAGGCGCGTTATGGCGAGCAGGATTATGCAAGGACGAGCACTTGCTTGAGTACGGAACTCCAGTTTCATTGCTCCAGAGAATCTGCGGGCAGATTATCGAAAATGAATAGCATTCTGATAAGACATCGAAATGCATGATATATTGCGATATATATCGATGTATGCATGGAAAAAATATGTCTTGTCTTCTTGTGCTGACATAATTTCAACAGAGGGGTCTCGCACGATTTTTAAAAAAAAACCAGCAATCCGCAACAAATAATTTCAGCACTTTCCCGTAAATTTCATCACATTTCGTTTAAATCCTTTTAAACGCCTATTGGACGTATATCTATCAAACGGAACTATGTGCATTATGACGTGAGCCCTGTTATGCATATATTCATACAGGTTTCAGGGCTCATGTCTTAATGCACATAGGTCCGTTTGATAGGAATACGTCCTATTAATAGTGCTAAAACTTAAATATTAGCATTTGAAGTAATTTGGAAGGAATACGTGATCGATCGGGTGAGAGGAAGCACCTGATTACGTAGATTTTACACCATAAAGCAGTTACTTGCTTCGCTGAGATAGTTGGTCACTGTGCGTGAGCATCACTGCACGTGGCGCTAAATTTAAATAAGGAAGACACTCGGATCCCAATCCTGGTCGGTTTTTGCGTTCAGCCCAGATATTCCGGACCAAATTCTCATCAAAAACCGAAGTCTGTCATCGGTGTCAAACTCGCCCCTAATGTAAACAAACAAACGTCAACATAGTCCGGACTCCAGAGGCACTAGGTATTAGGAAACACTGTTTTTGATGTAGCTTAATATTTATATTATTCTACCTCTCCTTCTCTATTACTAAATTACATATATATTATATTTACATTAATAAATATTTATACCTAAATTATACTCGATTCCACCACGTTTTTGTTCCCGCCATTAAGACTTATCAGCTGGAACGGTCTGGGCCACGGTGGTAGGGGTTACCATGGTAGTAGATGAGAGAAGATTTTGTGATCATTACAGAGAAAAGTCCCACAAAAATCGGAGACGATTTTTTTAACCAATAATTTATTTAAACCAATAATCCTTCGATCCTTAATCGATTTTTTTAAACCAATTGCAGAAGTCCACTCGCTGTCAGAGGATAATTCATTACTCAACAGCAGAAGAACTCCTTCTAGAAAATGGGGACGTATTGAGAAAAGTAATAATATGCCCTCAAATAAACTCCCATATTTACGAGGTCCACCTCCCAGAATCTACTCTCAGCCCACGACGGCGTGTATCGTTCGATGGCGACGGGGCGGGAGCTTAGTAACATCTGCAATATTACCATGATAAACCGAGTGAAGGCGTACAACGGGATGAGGCTGGGGGTGTCTCGAAGGAGTGGCCGCACCATCGCCAGCGTGATTGGCGGCACCTCCGAGCGTCTCCTGAGGCCGGGGGCGCTACTAAGGAGCGTGCGATTTCTGCGTCGACAGGAAGAGAGGGAGTTCGGAGTCCTGTGCAATGAGAGCTCCCAGGTCCCAGGTTTTTATAGCAGTCAAAGGGCAGAACTGATCAGAAATGCTAAGCTATTCATCATTGATGAAGCATGTATGTCTCATGCAAACACCATTAACATCCTTGAAAGAGGATTTCGAGATCTCTTTGACTCTTTTAAACCGTTTGGTGGTAAAAAATTCATTCTGACGGGCGATTTTCGACAAATACCTCCTATCGTGCCAAATGGAACACCTTCCGAAGTCATCGCTGCCTCCATTAAAAATTGTTATTTTTGGAAACATATAAAAAAATATCACTTAAAACTTTGTCAACGTACTTTAGATGACCCTCATTTTACGGAGACAATTTTAAGACATTGGAGAAGGCAAAATTGAGTCTCAGGACGTTGAGGGAGTTTCCGTTATTCTTCTTCGCGACATCGACCATGTTGTGACGACAACGGAACTGATTGATTTTGTTTTTCCCAAAGAAATACTGAAAGATCCAGATCTGTGTTGTTGTCGAGCAATATTATCTGGTACAAACGCAACTGCCGGCGAGTTCAACGATAGTATTTTGAATGATGTAGAGGGAAAATCGGTAAATTGCTTCAGCGTTGACACAATCTTAAATGAGGACAATACATCTAAAATCAGTGCTCTGAACATCGAATCGAGCTTACTCAACAACATTTCAAAATCCGGAGTGCCAGATCATAAACTTTCTCTAAAAATCGGAGAAATTGTTATTCTAATTCGTAATTTAAGTTTTATCGATGCATTAGTAAATGGTACTAAATTAATTGCCGTGAGCATATAAAGATTTTTCATCGAAGCTCGAGCTCCCAACAAGAACAACACAGTTTTAATCCCTCGCGCTATTTTTGATTTTTCTATCGGGAATCATGGAATGGAAATGAGACGCAGACAATTTCCTTTGAGATTAGCTTATGGCCTCACAAAAAACAAAAGCCAGGGTCAAACATTAACCCATTCCCTTAATATGACGAGCCTGACTCGTCATGGCCGCGCCGGGACAAACGTGAAATGACGAGTCCCACTCGTCATGCAACTTGGCTACGCGTATTGCCGTGTTTTGATGTTTTCACGATAGATAGCGCCACGTAAATCGACAGATGTTGTAACTAGAAGTAGTATGACCAACCTGTATTGGTTTTGTACGGTAATTTCCCCGAATATAGGGAATTTTGTTAGTTTGAAAATGTGGAAGATTGGAATAACCTCGAAACTTGCTCTCCGTTTATTTTCTTGTTATCAATGAATCACAACAACGAGATGTAAGCTTATTTTCGCTCTTTTTTCTTATTTTGGTGCTAATTGGTGCTTAGATCTTATTTGAGCATATGTTTTAAGAGTTTTTGTGCTGCTGGTTTGCATGTTTTCTTGCCTGGTTGCAATAATATGCGTAAGTACCCCAAGAGACGTATTAGTGCTCGGGAAGTAACACGGCTATTACTTGAAGACAGTGAAGATGATTTTGACACTCCTGATTCCCCAGATGACTTACAAGCATGTGGTGATGGTCCTTGGGTCCCTGATAACCATCATCTCTCAGATTCTCAGGAATCAAGCAGTGAATCAGACTGTGATAACTCTAGGGATGGTAATAGTGATCTGGAAAATCTGGTCCCTGGTTCTAATGACAATGCTTCTGATCCCACCTCCTCCACTGATGTTTCTGATCCTAATAATGGATGTCAACCTACCACTAGTACTAATGTTGATCCAGTGCCTTCGACATCAACTGTTGCAAACAAACCTACCCGCCCTCAAAATTGCCAACCCCCACCGAAGAGAAACAATGCACGTAATCAAAAACGCAAAAACCCCTCCGAAGAAGAATGATCAACCTTCCAAAAAAAATCCTAATGCCTGGTGTTGGGATGATTCTTCAGCTAAGCACACTATCAATAAGCTTCCATTCATAGGTTTCTCTGGTGTAAGACCACCTCTTTTGAGGCAGCTTGGTGATTCACCAACCCCAATCCAAGTTTTTGAATTGTTTACTGGCCTCCATTCATAGGTTTCTCTGGTGTATGACCACCTCTTTTGAGGCAGCTTGGTGATTCACCAACCCCAATCCAAGTTTTTGAATTGTTTACTGGCCCTGAGTTCTTTGATAAACTTGCCAAGGAGACAAATGCGTATGCAGAAAAATTTCTCAATAATCCCAATGCTGTTCTAAAACCACTTCATGAGGGGTGGTTCCCCACAACCTCTGATGAGATGAAAGCTTATATGACTTTAGCTGTTCTTTTTGGGCTTGTAAAAAAAAGTACTATACAGTCTTACTGGTCGCCTCATGCTACAACTGAAACCCCATTTTTTTCTACTTTCATGCCGTACCGTAGATTCTTGTTATTGTCTAAATTTATGCATCTTGTCAGTCCGGATGATGAAGTTCCAGATGACAAATTCAAAAAATTCCGTTGGTACTACGAGTATATAAATGAAAAGTTCAGAAATATTTATTATCCAAGTGAGGAATTGGCGTTAGATGAGTCTCTCATGGCGTTCCGGGGCCGACTCAGTTATATCCAATTCAACCGCGCAAAGAGAGCCAGATTTGGCATAAAATTCTATAAATTGTGCGAGTCTACCTCTGGTTATTGCTGCAATTTTAAAATTTACCAAGGAACTGAGGTCAGACAAAACACCGACATCAAAGTCTCAGCGGCAGTTGTCTTGGAAATGACTGAGCGGCACATAGATTTAGGTCATACATTAGTGATTGATAATTGGTATAGTTCTCCCAATTTATACGAAACTCTTTTGTCAAAAGGATTCAATGTTCTAGGCACAGTAAATACAAATAGAACCAACATGCCCGTTGAGTTCAAAAATAAAAATATGGATAGAGGAGAAACGGAGGCTAAATTCAGTCATAATATTATGGCCCTTAGGTGGCAAGACAAAAAACAAGTGACTGTCCTATCCACCTATCATGATGGAGCCCAAATGACAAAAACGAAGAAAAAAGATAGGAAGACAGGGAAAGATATTGAGAAACCTGCTGCAATTTTAGACTATAACAAATACATGAATGGAGTTGATGGGCATGCAGGATCAAGTTTTAGCTTCCTATCCAATAATGCGGCGCTACTGTAAGGGCTATATGAAGATTTTTTTTTACATGTTCGATATGCTCATTTATAACTCATTTGCACTTCATAGAAAGTTATCACCCACAAACAAAAAACATAAAATAACATACACTCAATACAAAGAAAAACTTTGTGACCAAATCTTAGAAATAGTTCAAATGCCAGAATACAAAACTAAGGGTCGACCCGCATCGAAAGACTCGCCTCTTCGCCTTCAGGGGAAGTATTGGGGCCACTTTCCTCAAACCATTCCTCCAAATGAAGTCAAAGCTAATCCAACAAAGAGATGTGTTGTGTGTTACAAGAAAAAAATCAGATCAGAAAGTAGGCACCAATGCGAGAAGTGCCAAGTTGCGCTTCACGTGCCTGAATGTTTCAAATTGTATCATATCCATGACATGTATTGGCTAAATAGGGATGAATTGGATGAGAATTAATTTTTGGCTTTATTTTTCAAGTAACTAACATTGTTAACAATGTTCTGTAATGTAATTATGGTCCCAGCTCTAACTTTTTCAGCTTATTGATGGCTTGCTAAATTTTTCTGCCTGTAGCGCATAATTTTGCACGGAAACTTATTTGGACTTTTTCACTTTTTCTTGACTTTTATTTTATTTTTATTGCACATTTGAGCGGTTTGGCTATTCTTTCTTACTTGTATTGGTATTTTAGAGGTTTTGTGGCTCATTGCATGTACTTTTTCTTACAATAAATAAGATTTTTCTCCTAAATTTAACATTTTTTTTTTTTTTTCTCAGGAAATTCCCCCGACATAAGCTGACTTACTGCAGAAAAAGTGCAACATCCAGGCAAAGAGGTTGTTTCAAAAACGCCGATTTTGCCCCCCCCCCCACCCTGGATTTGGCCCAAACTTTGCTCAGATGTTGTACTAAGTGTTCCCGATGCTTGGGCAAAATTTCAGCCCCCTCGGATAATTAGGGGGGAGGGGGCAGGGGGGCAAAGTTGCAATTTTTTTAAAACTTTAAAAATCGATATCTCGCGAACGGTTTGAGTGTACGTGTTGCGGTTTGCGCTAAAAAACGTTAAATAATATTCTCTACAAGAATATTAATGCTGTTTGCAAGTTGCGTAATTTATCGCGGTCATAAATCGATTTTTTCGATTTTGAAGGTTCGACTTTTTTTCGTTTTTCGTCTCTCCTCTCTTTGGAATCGTTGCTACGTGAATAAAAACCTGTTGAGGTGATTTTCCATGAAATTCTGCATCAACCACACTTTGTTTGATCTTTGGGAAACAATTCGTTCGTGAGATATAGCGATTTTTCTGCGCGTTATCGGTTACGCGCGGGCGGCTTATCGGCGGCGCTCCATCCCGCGCGGGCAAGGCAGAGGTTGTTTCACCGCTAGGGCCTTATATTCATGCTGTAGGCTGTAATTATCGATATTTTCTCCTCCCCCCACCCTTCCCCTGCAATACATATTTGTTTCATACTTCGTTATACAGAGTATCCCTAACCACCCGTAACAGGTCTTTTTCTCAGTTGGTTTAGGTAGTACGAAGTGGGGGGCCGCGGGATTGAATAGGGAATTGACCCCAAGGAATCCAAATTTTACGGTCCCGAAACTCCCCATGCCCCCTTGTGAGGTAAAGAGGGGGTCACGATCCCCAAAGTCGGGAGACATTGTGCCTCCCCCTTTTACCCCCCGAGGGTGGCTAGGGGGGCATCGGGACCATGAAATTCGAAGAGGTGCTTTACGCAGCTCTCCACTAAAGACATCGTGAAACATTAGAAGAGAAGAGCATATGTTTTACCTGAAATTATTTCTTCTTCTGTCTCATCGTTGAGGTTCTCAAGGGCGGAAATAAATGACGAAACTACTGCAAAAAAAAAAAAAGAATTTTAAGACATTATTACAAAACTTGGTACACATACTTTAAGGCATTTTCACATGCAAATAAGGCCTCAATTGAGGGGCTTGGAGCACAAGTCCTCTACGTGCTGTTATTGAAAAAAAAATGAGTATTGGTTACTGTGACTAGTTTCAAAGAATATTGTGTAAAAAATTGAAGGCTACACACATAGAGTCAATATGAACCTTTCCGCCATACAGCCTTAAAACTTCAAACTCGTTTTTCTTGAATCAGCAAAACTGCACTCTGACAACTTGTCTTCCACGCCCCTCATTGTGATCACTTTATCAATTGGCTCTACTGTGTAATGTTTCTCTATAGTATCAGTTTCGGACTCCAAGTCGGCTTCTCCTTCCGCTTTTCACCTCTTTTGGCAACTCTCAACTTCTTGTGCTGCCTATCATGGACTCAATACTTAATTCTGCTCTTTTCCTTCCCATTTCAAATAGACTACTTGAAGATACTTCCAACAGAGACCGCTGCTACAGACTGAATTCTATTCATTTTTCAAAAATTGTGCAGTGCACACTTTGAGACGAAAGGTTAGAAACGTGACCTTACCAATCAGAGGATCTTCACTCTGCTTTGGAGAGATCTTCTTCCGAGAAGCCTAGAAACGGACTGCTATGCTTCCGCCTTGCATAGAGTGATTTAGTCATTATAATCCCAAGATTTCAGGAGGGAGGGAGGGACCTTATAGCCGACCTTGAATTCCTCCACGTTTCATTCTACCACATCTTCGAAGCGTGGAAGTTTGCAAAGGATGTGGGAGCAGAACCGCACCTTACCTCTAAGCTCTTTCGTTCTTCCACATTTCATTTTTTGACATCTTTGAATCCTGCAAACTTCCACGCGCAAAGATGTGGAAGAATGAGACTAAAAAGATTGATTCCCCACCTTAAGAGCCTAATAGCATTGAACAGGTGCTTTAAGCAGCTGCACAAAAGACATCATGAAACATTAGAAGAGAACTGCATAAGTTTTACCTTCTTCTTTCGTACTGTCCAGATCTTCATCCATCTCGACTAGATCTTCTTCCGAAGGAGATTCAAGAACTTCCAATTTTACTTTATCATGAGCAACAGTTACTTTATCATGAGCAATTGACCCCAAGGAATCCGAATTTCATGGTCCCGATGCCCCCCTAGCCACCCTCGGGGGGTAAAAGGGGGAGGCACAATGTCTCCCGACTTTGGGGATCGTGACCCCCTCTTTACCTCACAAGGGGGCATGGGGAGTTTCGGGACCGTAAAATTTGGATTCCTTGGGGTCAATTCCCTATTCAATCCCGCGGCCCCCCACTTCGTACTACCTAAACCAACTGAGAAAAAGACCTGTTACGGGTGGTTAGGGATACTCTGTATAACGAAGTATGAAACAAATATGTATTGCAGGGGAAGGGTGGGGGGAGGAGAAAATATCGATAATTACAGCCTACAGCATGAATATAAGGCCCTAGCGGTGAAACAACCTCTGCCTTGCCCGCGCGGGATGGAGCGCCGCCGATAAGCCGCCCGCGCGTAACCGATAACGCGCAGAAAAATCGCTATATCTCACGAACGAATTGTTTCCCAAAGATCAAACAAAGTGTGGTTGATGCAGAATTTCATGGAAAATCACCTCAACAGGTTTTTATTCACGTAGCAACGATTCCAAAGAGAGGAGAGACGAAAAACGAAAAAAAGTCGAACCTTCAAAATCGAAAAAATCGATTTATGACCGCGATAAATTACGCAACTTGCAAACAGCATTAATATTCTTGTAGAGAATATTATTTAACGTTTTTTAGCGCAAACCGCAACACGTACACTCAAACCGTTCGCGAGATATCGATTTTTAAAGTTTTAAAAAAATTGCAACTTTGCCCCCCTGCCCCCTCCCCCCTAATTATCCGAGGGGGCTGAAATTTTGCCCAAGCATCGGGAACACTTAGTACAACATCTGAGCAAAGTTTGGGCCAAATCCAGGGGGGGCCAAAATCGGCGTTTTTGGAACAACCTCTTTATTCATATAAACATCCTTCTAGTTATAACTAATAAGAATTAGGCCAAAAACTTGCTCCTAATTATCAGGAAAAGCAGAAAACTAAGAAGAAACCAAATACAGCTTTTTACAGCAAAATTAAATAGTAGCTCTGTGCGCGGGCATGCAAAATTAATTGTTAAGGGAATGGGTTAAATAGAGTAGGGGTTGATCTACGCAGCGATGTCTTCAGCCACGGGCAACTCTACGTTGCTCTCGGCCGCGTGAGGAAAATTTGCGATCTGAAAGTATTGGTCCCTCAACAACGAGTCATAAACAACGTTCCTCATACACATAACGTTGTTTATGAACAACTTATCAATCCATCTTGAGATATAACAATTTTGGACCTTAATGAAAAATTTATTATACTCTCCTGTAAAAGGTGACTCGGAGTATAGCTGCCCCCGGGGATGGCCTCTTCTTTCCATCAGCCTGATGTACAGAGTCATTACAATTTTTATATCACCTGATTTTTTCTTACTTTTAACATCCTCTGTATCTACACGGGCTGTAAAAGGTGACTCAGAGTAACTGCCCCCGGGGTCGGCTTCTTTCTTTCATCAGCCAAGTGTACAAAGTGTAATACCTTTTTCATGTCACCTGAATTTTTCTTATTTTTAGCATCCACTGTATCTGCACGGGCTGTAAAAGGTGACTCAGAGTAACTGCCCCCGGGGTCGGCTTCTTTCTTTCATCAGCCCAAGGTACGGAGTGTAATACCTTTTTCATGTCACCTGAATTTTTCTTATTTTTAGCATCCACTGTATCTGCACGGGCTGTAAAAGGTGACTCAGAGTAACTGCCCCCGGGGTCGGCCTCTTCCTTGGATCAGCCAAGTGTACAAAGGGTAATACCTTTTTCATGTTACACTTAAAAGCTGTAAGGGGCGGCTCGCGAAGCGAGCCGCAAGTTCATCGCGAAGCGAGGAACTGGGGGTCCAGGATCACTCCCCGGCTAGGATTTCATGCCCTTTCACCCAAATCCAATTGCCCACGGGAATTTTCACCCAAAGTTTTTTTACCCATAGACACTAAGCCCAAGTAATTTCACCCGTGAGATGTTTAATCCTATGGTATATTGATACAATTTACTTGACTAGAAATTACTGAGGTAGACATACGCCTCTTCGTTTCCATGACTACGAGCATTTTTTTATTTTAAAAAAAAAAACAGAGTCTTACCGAGCAGTTCTGAGAGCAGTCGCGGATACATGTGTTGAATTGGGTTTCGCAGCTCCTCGTCCACGATCTATTATGTCTGACTTCGAATTGGCAATCATCAACTCCGTCAAACAAGTTTACCCACAATCCACCATCTTACTTTGTTTTTTCCATCTATCACAAAGTGTATGGAGATATTTGCAGAGTATTGGGTTACAAGTCGCCTACAATGACCCGGAAAATAGGGAAGTCAAAAATGGGTTTTCTCAATTGTTGGCGCTGGCGTTTGTTCCTGCAGAAGATGTTTCGCGAGTGTTCAATATGTTGAAGCCAACATTACCACAGAGCATGGAAGAATTGGCAAAATATTTTGACAGAACTTACGTCAATGGATCAAGAGAGCTCGTTCGGCGCCGATACAGGGTGCAACCTCCGAGGTACAGTCCAGTTCTGTGGAACCATTATCAATCAGTTTTACATGACGGGCCACGTACGAATAACGCAACAGAAGGTTGGCATAATAGATTCCAAAGTTTAGTAGGAAAAAACCATCCATCCATTTATTATTTACTTCGGCAGTTCTTGAAAGAGCAGGTGGACACGGAGAAACAGATAATAGAAATTCAAGCTGGACGGAAGGTGAGAAAACCAAGGGAGGCAAAGTACGAGCGACTTAACATCAGGCTGAGAACGATTGTCTCCCGTTATGAAGAGCACAAAACAGAACGTACAGAGCTGGATTACTTGAGAGCAATATAGGCCACAACATTGCCTAATCATCGTGAATCACCTAAATTGCCTAATAATTCAAATAATCTAATAAATACGGATTTTCATTCATGGGTGAAATTTGGATGAAAATGCTGGGTGAAAATTCTGTGGGAAAAATTTTCTCGGTGAATTTGGATGAAGGGGCAATGGGGAAACTGGCTTTGGATCTTTTGACTTTTGGGGGAAAAGGTTTGGGTGAAAGGGCTCCAAACCCCCGGCTAGGCGTGACAGCTCGCAAGGCGAGCTAATCACGGCTAGTTTTCATATGTATTTACTGTATAATCACTGTCCTTCTATTGTGGGGAGGGAGGACAGTGCTTATACTATTTTAAAATACCCTTTCTAGGGATTGCCCTGTAAAATAAGAAAATCAAAATTTTTCACATTCTTTTAAAAACAAGATAAGAGATATAATTTATAAGTACTTTAAATCATTTCCTTTTTCAGTCATGCCATTGTGATTACAGGAAGAGAGAGAGGCACTGAATGACCCTATCCCCAGTTCAAATTTAGTCGTTACAACCCTTGAAGAATGAAGATGCAGGCAGAATAGTTGAGGAAGAAAGAAAAGATGAGACACCTATGCCTTCTGTTCCCGCCACAGCGGATCCACCAGGTATTTGGAAACTCGGAAGTTTCCCCCGCAATACGCACACGGACAACACGCGTTGCACCGCGACGTATTGTCTCTCTCCGCGGCGTTTGTTCCCAGCGAACTTCGCCCGACCGCCGCCTGAGGGCGCTCCGCGCACCACGCTCGCGATCAGCTGACCGTACCGGTCTCTCTGTAGGTCACTAGTGCTTGCTGCTTGTACGTCGTACCTGGATTTGGAGTTTTAGCTGTTCCGCTGCTGTTCACATCCTGAGAATTTCTCTGGATTTCTTGCTTTCCTTGCTTTCTTTGCTTGTTTTGCACTTCCTTTCCTTTGTTTGCTGTCATCCCGGTAAGCCGCATTTTTCTTTTGTCACTACCGCCCCCTTTGTCACCGCATGTGGAGACCTCGGCCTTGAGAGCCCACCGCTGTTCAGCACACCGCCGCGCCGTACCGCCGCATGGCCTCATCTTCCCAAACAAAAAGGGTTTTGGGAAGATGATCGGCTGAGCGCCACGACGTTTTAGGTTCGAGGGGATTCAGTTTTCGGAGAGAGAGGTGAGGCACACCTATACAGTCCACTCATATTTTTAGCTCAGCCCTGACGCTCCACCTTCAACGTCAAAGAGCACTATCTCAAATATCCCCTATATCCAAAAACCGTTGTAAAGCACGGAGAGATGAATGCCTAGTAATTGAAGGAGAATTAGTCGAAGAGCCAATAATTGAGGATACACAAATGCATTCAACGTCAGAAAGTGCTACTTCAAATTTCCAATTCAATAATACGAGGGGCGTTCAATAAGTAAGTATCCCCCCCTCTCTAAAATCCATAAGAATGGACCAATTTTAAAAAACTTGGGCTCAAAATCTTCCTTAGGATATTTTGAGTTCAACAAAACAAACCGCAACAAAATCGGACTATGTGCGGCCGAACGCGAGCCGTTTGAACGCGCCGAGGTGCTCGACGCTCCCGCCGAATCTGCGAGGATTTGAAGTCCGCTACAGGAGAAGAGCTTCTCTGCCAAAGCCTC